GTGTTTTCTCCTAATAATGCATATTGATCTAATCACTGCTGGAATTTTCCTGTCTGATCTGTTATGAGGACTGCATATCCGCGATTTGCATAAGCCAAGGATGTTTGGCACTGGTCGTCATAGGCCGTTGATATCCGTTATTTCCTTCGAGCTCGAGGTGTCTTTAGCAGCTAAGTATGTTTCTTTGAACTGGCAGCATTCGTGGATAGTGTCAGAACCGATTTCTACAAAATCTCGGTTTCATTTTAATATTGGTCATTGACCGTCATAGACCTTTCCAAAGTCAGAGTGTCATGCCTGTGTAAGAATTAGATACTAACGAAAGGAGTGCGTTGGGCAAAAGGTGAACGAAAAAGAAAAGAAAAAACCCAGATCTCAAGGTCAGATAAGGTCAATGAGCTCACTATACTAATGATGTATGTTTGGTTCACCGTAACCCCTTAGAGGTGAGTAAGTGACATTATGGAGTGAAAGGGACAATGGGACCGACAAAAACAGGCAATACTTCCCAGTTTTTCAAAGTCCAGACCTCCAGGTCAAGTTAGGTTAGCGACCTTTGATGAACTTTGGGATCGAAATGCTGCTCAAAGTTAACGAAGCATGTTGTTGAATGAAGTCCAATAAAAACGATAAATTACACTATTCTAAGGAATGTGACCAGGGCCAGAGTTTTAGGCTGTGTTAGGTCGGTGAGCTATGATGATAAAAGCATGCTAATGGAACGTCAGTGAGAAACATCGTTAAAAGAACAAGCTATGGAAACCGTGGGGAAATAACAATACAACGCGTTGCCGGAAAACCTGAAGTGCAACCTTGTTTTAGCCCGGTGTGCTTAGATTGAACTGTCCTAGGCCACTGACGTGACATTACCTGAACTTGAGAATGTCTTACTTGAATACTTGATTCATATTCGATTGTTTCACTTGCGTATACTTTTTTCGTGCAAGAACATACTGATTATTTCAGGAGTGTCAGCTGCTCTCCATTTTCTCCCGACAACCTTAAAGTGGTGGGACGAATACTTACTCTCCCTTCTCAATGCGAGAGATACCAGAAGTTTTCAAAATATTGCACCGTATAGAGCATGCACCCGCCAAAAGTTGACTCACCAATAAACAGGACACACCGCAGCTTGAAAAATAGGCACCAGAATCATTTTGGATGACCAGCCGTAGACGTGTCCGTGGAAGCTATGGAGGGTATGTCCGATTAATAAAAGCCAGAGGTAATAAACTAAACGTATGCGGAGGTGTACTTGCACCACATGCTGAGCAGCACTGCGTTATCTTTAGAATACAAAGCTGATTTTCAAGGTTATTTGCGCTAGCGCAACACGAAATTGGTGTTATCAAATCGTTCCCGCATGCAGTAAGCGTAAAACTTTGTTTCATTCGTTTGCTTTGGTATGTGCATGCACATATATCCAAACCTCGATGGCGAGTGTGTGTTACAACATTGCACAACAGGCATCCGGGTCAGCCTCAAAGCAGCACGCACATCATACCGTCAAGTAGCCATCGTCCTTGCCTGCAGGCGTAAGAAACGAGTCTGGATACTGGTCGATTGTCTGAGGACGAATGGGCTTGGCTTCGCGTCGGTGCCACGCGGCACATGGATACGTTAAGAGCCACTGTCGCTCAGCGCGCACCTGGGCTCCCTGGAGAAAACCTGCCTCAACGGGAAGTGTAATAGGTACGCAGGCAAACAACCCCGCGGCTTGCACACCGCCGTTCGACGCAAGACCTGTCAGAAAGTGGCCACTAAAGTAATTAACAAAGTAACTAACATAAAGTAGCTAGCTTCCTGTGAGTAAATGGAGGAAGTGTATGGATCATCGTCAGTGAGCCATTTGCTTCCAGTTCCATCGAGTTTGGCCTTGCGGGGCTGGTGACGCCACGGACTGGGCACAGGACGCGGAGGCGCGGGTTGGACGGCACCACACCCAGGCGCCACAACAGATACTGCTGACCTCGACGCAATATGCCGGAGCCGAATCCTCATCTGTTCTCCACACAATGCAACTAGTCTCAGACAGTCTGGACGGCGGAGGACCGTTTCCTGCGTTCTGTGGCGGCTTGAGTCCGGCTCCAGGAGATTTATGTGCAGTGGTCGTTGGTGCGATGAACGGGTCCCAGGTACGCACGGTAGCGCCATCTGTTGGTAGATTCATACACCACCACCGTGCTCTCGAGTCGCCCGGTGGCGCTGCAGTCGTGGGTCAGTTCGGACCGCAGGTTTGGGAACACGTCATCACATCGGCCATGATTTCAGCCCTGGCTGCCGCCAGTGTCACCGCGTATTGTCGTCCCGATGGGAGTGCTGCCTACTTAAAACTCCTCCTCTCTTATCAAAGAAGGCACGAATCACACAGGATCACACTCAATGTTCCCATGACACAAGCTTACAACAGTACGGGTCGTGCCGCTGAGGTGGCCGGACAACGCACCCAGAGCGCGTGACCACCGGTCCTGCTGGTTTGACACAGGGCGCCAGCGCAATACGTGGAGGTGATGGAGGGTGAACGACCTCCCGAGGTGGAGAAACGGGGATGGCGGAAGCACGTTGCCACAGGAGGTGAAGGCACGACACACAGAGACGGTGGAGGACACATTGCCACCTCCCGAGGTACCGCAAGCACCGCGGGCGGAATTGCAGGCATTTATAAACGCAGGTATTTCTTCATTGCCCTCCTGCTCAACGGGTGCACCATTCACATCCGTGTTATTGGGTTTCAGGCGGTTGTGGTGCACGATCACACTTGGATGCTTGCCTTCCTTCCCAACTCGATGATTCAAAGGACCACACATCTCAACGATCGCTGCTGGACGTCACCTGTGTCGGCATGTAGCTTCGAGTCTGACAGGAGCCGTTTTGGGGGGGGGGAGGCAAGAAAGACCCAAAAGGTCTCTCGAGACCAAAGATCAAGGGTCCGATTAAAAAGCTAAAGACCTCGAAGTGCTGACTGTTGGTCACATTGAGGATCCCCGCCTGTAGGGCCGTAATCTGTAATACCAATTAGACGCCCTCTTGCACCGATTGGGAGCCCCTGAGACTGTGTGTTCTTTTATTTCGGCCAGAAATCACCAGCACCGAGCAGTCTGCTCCGTGTCGGTCTGAGCCCTCGAGGTCATTTTCCAAGCAGTGATAAGGCCGGGCCCGCGATTTACGTTGATCGGGGCCCCTGGAACAATGCGAAAGCTCAGGAACGAAAAGGGCCGACCCATTTTTGCCTGAACACGTTCACTGTTTTCCGAAATCGACCAGTAAAGTGAATCACATCTAAAAGTTTTCAGTTTGCACACTTGTAATTTCAGCAGCAGGAATATCGATAACCGGGGTTGCAGCTTCAGTAAAACCAAACGGCACTGCCCACTGCAAGTAACACCAGGCCGCGGACGCCGTGCGCGAGAGCGACCGTCGTGAAGTCTTGTCTTGTCTTTGTCTTGTCTTGCATCTGAAAGTCTTGCAAAATCAACTCGCTCCGTTCAAAAATTAGACTGGAACGTATGTTGTTTGTTCTGTTGTTGTTTATTTTACAGCTGTGAGGTTGTCATCCGGGCCGACTAACAATTACAACACTACGGAAACAGAGATTCTACCTCTTTTCTTCCGGTTCCACCTCTAAATATTTCCGCCCGTTGGCCACCGCTTAGTGCGACCGCGGGGCTGACGCCGCACGGCCTATGAAGACTGCAGCGCCGAGCGTTGAGGTGTCGGTTGCTGAGGTTTGCTAGCGCGCATTTTCGAAACCATGCACCATATTTTTCTCATTAAATGACTGGCTAAATGTTGAACATTTCGTGACAAACCCAGGTTGACGATGTTAGTGTCGATGACGATGACGATGTTAATAAATGACGATGTTAATGTTTTTAGTCATTTCGATCTGCAATCTACGTTCGTGGTGTCCTCAATTTTACTGAAAAACACAGACCAAAATTCTGGCAAAGCTTCTGAGTTCTGTCGGTGTAGAAAAAAAAAACAATGAACCGTGATAAAAGAATGAGGACCGGTGATTTATTCTATGTCGCTGTTTAACACATGATCTTTTCACCTATCGAAACACAAATTTAAGCAGAGTTGATCGCGCTTACTTTCTGCCCTCATCTTCAGTTAGAAAAGGTCAATATAGCAGTAAAGCAACGGCAACCATAAACGTTATTAACAAGTGAGTCATATCCGGCTATTTTTTCTTTGTATACCCAGGGCCTTGCTTTCTCCTTGTGAGGGCTCTGGCTGCGCCCCTGTTTCTATCAGTTTGATAATGCGATCTTTAAACATTTCTTATCACTGACATTTCAAGTCAGTTCAAAATATGGCCAAATGACGTTTTTTTCCAACGTCTCGTAGCTCTCCTTAGATTCGAAATAGTTTGTTAAGGTTCAACCATGCCACCATTCATTTCTATGGAATAATGTTAGGTCCATGGGAATGACCAAACGAGCAATAGCTGTAGCTTATATCGTACCTGAGTTAGGTCATACAAATAAAACGTTATAGCATACTTCTTCAGACCACTTAAATCACTACGGAGTGAGACTGCCCAATTGAGATGGAAGGGGATAAACAAAGTGTGTTCACTACAAAAATATCTTATTGACCACGAACCAAAAATAGCCGTGAGATGCAAATAGTCGGAAGTCCTAACTCAGTGCTATGATCTGACAAGCATCTCACATCTTGGAGCAAGGTCACAAAACGCGAGGGACAAGTTATAAAAGTAAACAATCTGGCACAGAGTCTCAGCTGTTCTGACCGCGCCACGCACACGAAACATGCTGCATCAGTGTCGCGGCCCGAGCCCCAGCTGCAAGACCCGTCGCCGTCGGTGCTCTGCTCTCGCGGCGCGTACAGCTCACGTGGCGGGGGCCAGCGTGTGGGGTCAGCGGCGGTCGGTGCGGCTGGCCATCGATTGGCGCGTGTTGACCCGGTCACCAGGGAGTGCAGCCGGCCGGGGCCCGGGCGGCCGGTGTTCCCGACGGTGGTCGCCGCAGCGCTGAGGCCCGTCCGCCGCCAGCGTCCGGCGCCCGCGCCTGCAGCCGTCCAGCCAGCACCCGCTTCTGCAGCGCCGTGGTGAGTGGCGCCGCCGCCAGCCGCGGCGCGGGGGTGGTTCAGACCATGGACGGGCCATAGGGATGGACGGACCGGGAGCAAAGGGCTCACCCTCATGCTGTTACCAGTCCTGGGCTCAGCACTTCCACAATGAGATGACCATCCCATGCTATGCATGCTTCTTGCCGCCACATGAGGGCTTTCTGGATCCAAAGTGCCCGGTACCAAACATGCAGCACCACTGCAAGCTTGGCCTGAGCCCTTTATGATGCTTAGGGACCTGCGTCTTTGTACCCAAACATGAGATATCCAAACATGGTTAACGCAATTTCTCTGTTGACCGCCAACAGCTTCATGTGGTGAACTCCCAACCAAAATTGCAGTGACTAAAAAACGCAACTTACAGAGAACGTACTGATGCATCAACTCGTATAGGAAAGTTACTCCCCTTTCAGGCACTTCGTTTTTTTGTGATGCTCTTCTGGTTTATTTGTTTCGCCACGCGTGCGGCTCGCATAGGTGCATATCTTCCACACTTGCACACGTATATATATATATATATATATATATATATATATATATATATATATATATATATATATGACAGGCGCTCTGAAATTAATCCCTTATGTGCATTACCCCATTTTTACACGCAGTCACACCGCCCTTTTACTGTATGCGGACATTTAACCCCAGCTCCATTTTCAGGCGTTCCTGCCAGCTCCCAGCCACCAGCTATGGGATGCCGGGGGTCCAAGGAAACCACACAGGACGGCAGGAGCATCTATGAGCGAGAATCTCTCGGAAAACGTCCAAGTAAATACCCTCTTCGAACTCTTGCAAGCTAGCCAGCACACAATACTCGTGTCGGGCACAGTCAATAACAAACCCTGTTTCCTGGGGCTTGGGGGACATCCCAAAGGCTGCTTAGTTTGCTGTCTTCAGTGAAACCGCAGTGACTGTCTCTGTGAGTTTTTGTTACCACCCAATCTTAAATCAAACTACAATATTTTTGTGTCGATCACGTAAGCTTCCTGGACTGCTTTCATCTCAATACACTTCCGGTGATTTCGCTCACAACTGGCCGGAGGCCAGTTATCATGGTTTGTTGCATTTATTGACAACCAATCAAATTTAAGGCAATAGCTTGGGAGAAGGCAAAAAAAGCACCGCAAGATCGAGATCACCGTAAACAGATGAAACTCATTCCCTCGCCTTTTAGGATTTGGTGCATCCTTTGCTACTTAACTTGCCTACCAGCAGCAGTACAGGAATAGTATCTCAATATTTGTCGACAGTAATGTCGAGGAAAACTGGATTTCGTGGCAATTGCAGCCAAAAACACTGCTTCACAAATCAACGGTTCAAGGGATTCAGTGTCCGATGCTCTTGACGGGCTGCGCAAAAGACATGGCATGAATCGACGTGTAGTATACTGTCGGATTAAAATATGTAGAAATTCGAAAGGAAGGCTCGAAAAAACGTGTGAGCAATTTTCATCACTAAACCTCAGCCCAAACCAGGCCAGCGAACCTCAGTCAAATCAGTCCTGCTCGCAATCTCCTAAAGAAGACAGCTGACCTTCAAATTCTGAAGCATGAACATACATCTGAGGGATGCCGTAACCGAGATGTGACGTCACTGGGTTGCACATTTTTACGCTATACGGTGTGCTTTGTCTGTGCGTTTTCCGATGTGCGCGCCTTGGAAAGCGTTGCCTGCAGTGTCATGTGTTCGTCGTATGATCTCAATTCCGCATGACAGTGTTTTTAGCTGTGTGTCATGAATGACCTCACGCTCGTTTTTATAACGGGTAACATAGCTGGACTTTAAATCAGCATCGGAGCGCCTCCAAATCGGCTGAATAATTGATTATTGGTGCTGCGGACGCGCCGTCTACTGCGACCACTGTAGCGCCCATACTCCCACATGAACAGACGTTATAATTGCCCACACCGTTTTGGGTGTTGCACTAGAACTCAACATATTGACCAAAGTTTGTCCAACGGCCAAATTAATTATGCCACGAACTCTCGCGGTGAAGCAAAAGCGGCGCTGCATTTCCACGATAGGGAGGAACGCCGTCGCCTGTGCTTTTTTTGTGCGCGTTTTAATCTTTCAGCAGATCACATTGACGTAATCGATAGCTTAGTCTTGAACATTTTGGCATTTCATCTGAATGCTTTAAGTTCATTCAATGAGTTAGACCTTGGTCACACAATGCGCCAGCTAAAACTTAAAAAGTTAAGTCCGTGAAGTTAGCGATTTATTCAGCGATTTTTCAGCGACGAGTTCTGATTTCCCTGAAAAATGGTTTCACAACCAAATGTGGCATAGGAACACCAAGAATGACCCTTATTTTGCAATATCATGTGACCTTCAAGGTCAAGAGCTGGGTCAAAGGACGGGGAACTCGATGTCACCCAAAAATTACCGGCCGGTTTTTAACTTACAAAGATCAAAACATTTACCACAAAAAGAGCTAGCGTTCGTAAAAATCCTGGCCTCTTAAGGTCACCCTTCAAGGTCAAACGCGGTCTCAAAAGACGGGGAAATCCATATCATCAAAAAATTTCCGGCCAATTATTAACTTACAAAATCAAATCATTCACCACAGAAAGATCCAGTGTCCGTCAAAAAGTCCGGACCTCTCAAGGTCACTCTTCAAAGTCAACCTCGGGCTCAAAGGACGGGGAACTTCATATCAACCAAACAGTACCGGCCGATTTTAACTTACAAAGATCAGCACATTTACCACAAAAAGCGTTAACGTCCGTCAAAAAGTTCTGACCTCTCAAGGTCACCCTTCAAGGTCAAACGCGGGCTCAAAGGACGGGGAACTCCATATCACCCAAATATTTACTCACATCACTTTTTCACGGACGCTAGTTCTTTCTGTGGTGAATGTGCTGATCTTTGTAAAATACAAATCGGCCGGTAACTTTTGGATGATATGGAGTTTTCCGTTCTTTGAGCCCGCGTTTAACCTTGAAGGGTGGCCTTGAGGGTGAGGACTTTTTGACGGACACTAGTCCTTTCTGTCGTGAATGTTCTGATCATTGTAAAATAAAAATCGGCCGGTAATTTTTGGGTGATATGAAGTTCCCCGTACTTTGAGCCCGCGGTTGACCTTGAAGGGTGACTTTGAGAGGTCAGGGCTTTTTGACGGACGCGAGTTCTTCCTGTTTTGAATATTCTGACGTTTGCAAGCTGAAGATCGGCCTGTAATTCTCGGGTGATATCGAGTTCCCCGTGCTTTGACCCAGCTTTTGTCCTTGAAGGAGACATGATATTGCAAAATAAGGGTACTTTTTGGTGTTCTCGTGCCACAATTGACCTTCAACCATTTTTCAGGGAAATCGGAACTCGTCGCTGAAAAAGTCGCGAATAAATCGCTAACTTCACGGACATTAAAGAGTTGTCATTTCGCAACGGATTGTGAACACTCTGTGCACAGTATATTACTGTGTAGTAGTTCGGAAGCCTAAGGCGATTATACACGCATGATCCATCAATTTCTTGACATTTAAAATGGTCGTTTGATGTAAAGATCGTATCAGGGTGTGTCATGCCACAAATGGAATATAATTCTGGCAGACATTTTACGGCACATTGAGTATTTCAGTCGTATATTAAGATGATAAGAAAATAAGAAGCTAAGCTCATCGATTTCAGGGTGATAAAAGATCACTGAATGGTCTCAGGTTATCCCAAATATGTTACAAGATATTACACTTTTGACATCAATCACTTCAAACAAATTGTGGTACGCACAACCAACCTAAAAGTTAAGCGATTTTACCTTAATCCCTAGCAACTTCACTTTGTAAATTTATGAAACACTGCATAGAGCACACAAATAGTGATCTGACCTCATCTGGCGCGCTAACAGACGGCACCCACATCTGAAACGCTCACAGATGGCACCCACACCCCATCTGGCACGCTTACATATGGCACCCACACCTCATCTGGCACGCTCACATATGGCACCCACACCTCATCTGGCACGCTCTCATATGGCACCTAAAACTCATCTGGCACGCTCACAGGTGGCACCCACACCTCATCTGGCACGCTCATAGATGACATCCACACCTCATCTGGCACGCTCACAGATGGCACCCACACCTCATCTGGCACGCTCTCATATGGCACATAAAACCCATCTGGCACGCTCACAGGTGGCATCCACACCTCATCTGGCACGCTCACAGATGGCACCCACACCTCATCTGGCACGCTCACAGATGGCACCCACACCTCATCTGGCACGCTCACAGATGGCACCCACCGTGCGCTGACGCAGGGCACGGCCAGTCATGGCTCGGCGTCTACAGGCACCGTGGCCGGTGTGAGCACTGAGAAGTGGGCGCAGTGGAGTGGTGGCCTAAAGCCCGGGCAGTAACCTCGAGAGGCGTCGTATGTAATTTCGAGGACCCTGATTTGCCAGCCCGTAGGTTTCCATGCAAAACACACATGTCTGTCAAATACTGCGTGGTGGCGTAGAAAGTACTATGCCAGCGAGTGCGAGAACACCGCGGTCTGATCATCGAGCCACTTTTTATAAGAACACACTCACACACACACTCACACACACACACACACACACACACACACACACACACACACACACACACACACACACACACACACACACACACACACACACACACACACACACACACACACACACACACACACACACACACACACACACACACACACACACACACACACACACACACACACACACACACACACACACACACACACACACACACACACACACACACACACACACACACACACACACACACACACACACACACACACACACACACACACACATATATATATACATATATATATATATATATATATATATATATATATATATACATATAGGCTGCTCTATGTAAGCTGAGCGGCTAAGGTAGTATTTTAGCTCATAGTCCAGAGAGAAGCACCCAAACGTCTGCCTGAATGAGGGATGTCTCATCGTCATATGTTTTCCCTTTTGTAGTCAGAAAACGCTGTTTCTCGATTCAAAATAGTAAAAAAAAAAATAGCGTTTTTAGAGCACGAGCAGAGGCCTGTTCTCGCGCTCTGGAATTAAGGAAATTTTGCATTGTACAAAAAAGGCACATGCTGATGACGGGACTTCCCGAAGTACATTTATGTACATTATCTTGTGGGTCCAGTACCTGTTTTCAACGTTGGCCTCTGATTGAATTGCGCAAAAAGTGGCCATATCCACCGATGAGAGTTTCTGCTTTCTGAAGGCAGAGCCACACATGCCACCTGACCCCGCGACCAGGCACAAGCCAAGCGGATTTGGCACACATGCCACCTGACCCCGCGACCAGGCACAAGCCAAGCGGATTTGGCACACATGCCACCTGACCCCGCGACCAGACACAAGCTGAGCGACTTGACACGGTACGAAGGACGTTCCGTTGTCCTCGTCTCCCTTTGCCTGCAGAGTAAAGCTGCTTCGAGACAAACCTTGGACCATTCGTTCGAACTGGGTTAGTGAGATCGTCGATGTCAGTTATCAATCGTTCATCATCTTGCGCTCGGAAAGCCTTGCAATCTATACTTGTAATGTACCCCAGTCATTCATGATGCAAATAACAATGTATGCTGACATTCCTTTGCGAGATTTCAATACCTGAACTTACACAATCTTGACAGCAACTGTCTTTCAAAAGGCCATGGACGATGAAGTTCTTCACTACGAAAGGCCATGAACGATGAACGTCTTCAATACGAAAGCGCTCTAAACTTTCACGCGCGGAGCCCCTGTGGAATCAAAGAAAGGCTTAGGTTTGTGAGTAAGGGCGGCCAACTTTTCATCACACAACCCGCTCATCCGTACGACCCTATCCATCATACCAAACGCAGTGCCCCTGCACAAAAGCATAATATATCAAATGCGAGCGCTGAAACCCATTGTACAAACAACAGAAAGGAATGGCTGAGGCTATCGTGCAGAAAATGCCGTAATTACAGCCCTAAGTCTGAGAATAATGCGTGTGACCGCGAGGGTAAACGCATATGCTAGACAGCATAGCGAAACTCCTTGCCTGTGCAAAGCAATTCCTCAACTAAAAGCTGGGAGCTCGTCGCAAATCGTCCCTTTCATTCGCCCACGGCCGACAAAATAACGCAGCGTCGTAAATTGCAGCCCGTGAATAATAACACGGCACTGAGCGATCAGTGGAAGTACAGTACCAGACCACTGACCCTCGCGTTTCAGGCTGCCATGCACCCCCATTCCCCAGATCTGCGGGTCTTTATGATAAGAGAGGAGCATTCCAGCGTCCAGTGTCTTACCATTCAGAACACTACCAGGTGTAGAGCGGTGTAATCCGGACCCGTGATTACACTGACTGCGCCATTCTGCGCTGCTCAGGCCGCACGCGATTATAAAAGGCGTCCCTGAGTGTTCGGCTTGGGGACTCAGCATTGACGCGAACCCACGGCGATTCGAAGCGCTATGCTCTAGGATGGGTTCAAACATCACGCGGTCCTTTCGCGCGCTATCAAGTTAACACGGACGGCTTTTAGCTATCTTTTACAACAGCGCAGATCAAGTGAGATCAAACGACACGTTTTCCTTCTCTAAAAGTCCTATGTGCATGCCCGCAGAGAAAAGTTGCATAAAATCACTCGGAAGTGAGAAAGTTACGTTATCTGAGGTCACTGAAGGGCACTCCATGACCTTAAGCTTGAAGCACACTGCGCCGACAGCCCTCACACGCCACTCCGTCTGGCTAAATGCAGATGTCGAGCATGTGTGCTCCACGCTATGTGGTGGTCTTCATCCTGCCCCTCTCCGGCGGCGCCGCCCACTCCTGTTCGCCACGAGAACGCGACCACCGCCGTGCGCCGTCTGCTGCCAGATCCGGCTGACCCGCACAGGTCACGATGGCACAGGTCATCGTGCAGATGTTGTGCTCATCGCTCTTGGAGTCGGAACTGCTGCGGTGCAGTATTTATAGTGCAGCAGCTGCGGCGCCGGCACACAACAGTACATAAGGATTGGCCGCACCGGCACACAATAGCACACAAGGATTAGCCACGGCGGCACACAACAGCACACAAGGATTGGCCGCACTAGCACACAACAACACACAAGGATTGGCCGCACCAGCACACAACAGCACACAAGGATTGGCCACGCCTGCACACAACAAGTTCTCACGGCGACATAAAGTTTTGATCTAATGTGATCTTAACCTGGAATAGCGTATACAGGTGTTATAGAACTTCCACGAAGCGCTTCCACTTCCACTTCCCACATTTTAGCATGTCTGCATTTTAGCCGCGATCTTAACTACGCAGTTATTGCTCCGAGACCTAGCAATGCAGAAAGTTGAATATTTCAGGTCAGGTGAAGATATTCGTTATTATTTGGTATATCTCAGCAACTTAACACACAGTAGCAAGGGCTGTTTGGTCAATATGTCGAGGCTCTGCATCACCGAGAACGATATATAAAATGTGTCCACGAGCATGTTAGCACAGTGTAAGCAGAAAACACACTGTAATTTTACCCCACATATAATTTTCTTTGAGTACATTAGCAGACCGCGCAGGGGCATAATAGCCTGATCGCAGACGTTATTACGGTTGGTATTATCAGACTGTCAGCAATGTAACTTGCCCCACAAAGTCAGCATCGACAGTGGAAGGTGATAAGGAGTGGGCCTCAAAGAGCAAGTACAGCAGCTCATTTTTGTTCCACCGTCCAAATAATACGGTCACGAAAAGATGCACAAGCCCTTTACCATAGATTGACCGTACACCGTTGACACGTGGGAAGGATGGATGCAATGCGCTTATGTTCGTAACAATTGTCTTTCCGCATGTCCAGTACTTTGGTGTTTCCAAGTTCGCGCGCTGATATAGCATGCAGGTGGGCTTCAGTGATTGTTTCTGGTCGTCTGTCGCTGCCTGTAAATGATTGACACATGATGTGGTGTTTGAATTTCACCATTTCTGTGAACGGCGAGGATCGCTGTCTCTCACACAGCTTCTCGCAGATGGTAAGTATTGCTACAATGGCTAACCTCCGTAACCGCACCATTTTTAGATCTGTGCCGCTTTCGCCCATTTTCAATGCGTTCCTTTTGTCCCGGTCATAGGCAGCCGCAGTGCGAGTCGGTCCGCCCAACCGGGGAATTACCACGATGCAAAGAACAGTAAGTGTTGCGGAATCGGAATGCGCTCGCGGAATCGGGCACCGTCCATTATAGTGCTCGATGAAATGCGGCGGCGTATAGAGGAAATAGGGTTATCCACTATCTCTCTACGCAGTGCAAGCGATAATTGTACGGGTTGTTTAGTTAAGTGAGAGTTAAAACGGTAACATAGGTAACGTACGCAGAACTGGTTAGTTATATGATTCGTGATGAGGGCCTGCGCTTCCGCACGATGTACCATGCAGGCCAGAGGGCCGCGCCTGACGCGTCTGTGTGTGTGCCTGACGCGCGGCGCGTGTCGCCCACCAGCCGACCATGACGGCTCCATCAACTGCATGGCGCTCAGCGAGGACGGCTCGCTCCTGATCACCGGCTCCGAGGACTGCACCGCCCGCATGTGGAGCACCAAGACCGACGACACCGAGTGCCTGGGCGCCCTCGAGTGAGTCCTTACGGGGTGTCTGGCTGTCCTCGAGTGAGCATCATCCGACGTTCCGGCGTCCTGGAATGGGTCCCTACGGAGTGCCTGGCTGTCCTCGAGTGAGCACCATCAAATGCACGGGCGTCCTTGAGTGAGTCCCTATGGAGTGCCTGGCTGTCCTCGAGTGAGCATCATCCAATGTTCCGGCGTCCTGGAATGGGTCCCTGCCGAGTGCCTGGCTGTCCTCGAGTGAGCGCCATCAAATGCTCGGGCGTCCTCGAGTGAGTCCCTACGGAATACCTGACTGTCCTCGAATGAGTACTATCCGATGATCGGGCGTTCTCGAGTGAGTCCCTACGGAGTGCCTGACTGTCCTCGAATGAGTACTATCCAATGCTCGGACGTCCTCGAGTGAGTCCCTACGGAGCGCATGACTGTCCTCGAGTGAGTAACATTCAGTGTTTGGGCATCATCGAGTGAGCACACGTCGGGTGTCCGGGCGTCCTAAAGGAGTGCCAACCGGGTGTCTGGGCGTCCTAAAGGAGTGCCAGCCGGGTGTCCGGGCGTCCTAAAGGAGTGCCAGCCGGGTGTCTGGGCGTCCTAAAGGAGTGCCAGCCGGGTGTCCGGGCGTCCTAAAGGAGTGCCAGCCGGGTGTCCGGGCGTCCTAAAAGAGTGCCAGCCGGGTGTCCGGTGCCTTCGAGTGACTTTAAACCGGGTTTCCAGGCGTCCTCGAGGACTTCACACCGCGCGTCCAGGCGTTTGAAATGTACAATGTAGATGACATCAACCAAATCCATGAAACTTTGGGCGGGTTTTCAATAGTTTCACGCCAAGTTGGCTTTGATTCATCCAATTCTTGCATTGAGAGCAGCGAATTATCTATTCACTTGCTCATGACCCCACTACGCCTCCGCACTTTCCAACTCTGCGTTATCTCCGATATAATTCGGTACGAACCCCTCTGCGCGAGAGCCCCACTGTAAAGCTAGGGCACGAACTGCGAGCACGAGCCTGCTAGGAGCGGTTGCGACTGCCCACTGCCGGGTGACGCCAGTTGTTTGGACTCGGTCCCGTTGCCGGGCTGAGGACGATCGATCGTAACACCGGCCAGCAGCGGTGGTGACATGACCAGACGTCATCAGCTGACGCAGCGGCGCCCTTGCAGAGGCCGTGCGTCGCTCTGTCGTTGCGGGCGCGGGCCATTCGCTGATGGCCTCCGTTATACAGTGGTTGATGGAAGACCCCAGTGGGCCTGGTTGCTCTGTTGCGTAAAACTGCAGCCGAACGTGCATCTGTTGTTATGAAAAGCTGTAATCAGGCGTCCGAAGCATTCACAGAACAAATCCTATAAAAGCTTCTGTTAGATATATTTTGATTGTTCAAAATGTAATTGATGAATCGTAATCGCGATTCCTCCCCGTGGACATTTGCCTCGCTGTTGATGGCATGTCGAAATCTCCGAATGACGGGGCTCCCTACGGGCGACAGCTTTGATCGATTTGGACAGACGGCACTATATTCCTTTTTACGGCAGCTTCATAAATTGATAATTATAAACATGACGCAGCCTCGATGCATCCAACAATGATGCAACCCAGCAAAACACCACGTTTATTTGGGATTGAAACCGAATCGTCCCAGATAATTTAATGATACGTCGTGACCCGACTCGATCACTTACATCTACTGTACGCCAACTGACCTTTGTGAATCATGACCTTGACACGCCTCCTCGCCAGGGGTCACACGAGCTACATCACGTGCGTCGCCTCGTGCGATACGTTCGTGGTGACGGGCTCGGCCGACAGCACTATCAAGAAGTGGGACATGACCAGCTGCGACTGCCTCTTTACATACGAAGGTGGGAGCACGAGCCCGACGCCGTGGTGCCCCGGCGCCAGCGCTTGGTGACAACTCTGGAAATGTTAAAGGATGCATCCTTTCCAGTTGTTTTCAACCGGTGGGCCAAGACTAGAACGATCTGCTGGTATATGGGAAGCTATTGGTAGGTCTTTAAATATGAGTTATCTACAAACAATAATGCAGGCAAAAATAAAGAAGTTCGGCACGCTGCAACGCTTGCTGTTGGCTGAAAAAGGCACGGATTTGTTGCCAAGCTGATTTTTATTTTGGCTCACCACCTGGTATTGTTCGTGTCGTTTAGATCCAATCAGCTGTTGTGGCAGCTTAAATCGGACCCTTTCAGCGTCAGGTGATTAACGCCGTTTGATATGAGCTATTCTACATGGATATGTCAAGTGAATTAAAGTGCTGCTGTTGGTGGTCACCAAACAAGCTTGGATATTATTGTGTGCACGTTATCTGTTAAGTAAAGCAGAGGCCTTTTACGAGCCAATGCTGCGCCAACTGCGCTGCGAAAGCTTACTAATTGCTATCGAATAACAGTAATACCGCATATTTTATCACACGCACCGTTGTTATCCAACGCGGGCCGCCAATCACATCGGACGATGGCGTATTTCGGCGACGTTCGGCCGACGGTACATTTTTTTCCAGTGAAATTTTCCGTCCGAGCGTTTCCCTGCTTATCCTATCCGCTGTACATCCGCGCTTCTGCATTAGGCCGCCCTTGCCTCAATTTTCTACGCGCACCACAACTGCCTTCAAGTAAAACCAATTTAACAATAAATTTGAAAGCTACTATAAAACGAGCTCATACCCTCACTGTAATGAGTTTTCTTAATTCATTTTGGACTATTGGCCAATTCATCATCCATACCAAGAAAAGGTTTCATCTTCAGTGTGGAAGTTCTCTGGGATTATCAGCAACCACGGATCGAAAGCCATTACAAATGACCTTAAAAAGCTACGAATAATTTTCTCAGATTTTTTTAACTTTTAATTTCCTTTGGTCAAACGCCCTGCAGGGTCAAAGCGGCAGACAAGGCGCAGTGATATAATGAACTTAGCTGCACCAAACCAACACCGAGATGTGGCTGCACGATATTCTCAACGACCCGGCGTTCGAAATCATCCGGCCTGGAGCCTGTGCTGCTGTGGATTTAGTTCCCGGCAGCCATTAAGTTGGGGCGGGCTGTTGGACCCGCCAACCGCAGCGACCATTCAATGTAGTACATCTGGCTGGACAGGTCCAGTGTCCCCCTGGCGTGCCGGTCCGCGTCGCCGCTTGGAGTGCTTCAATGTCTGCCTCGTGGAACTGCCGGGACCATTCGTAATACAGCTGATCACGCCGGCTGTGGCAGAGCGCAGTGAAACACAGCCGACCGTGGGTCTCGAACCGGCGCCGGCTGTGACAGGTAGCAGCGAAGGACAGCCGATAGTGGGTCCCGAACCCGCACCGGCTGCGGCAGAGCAGAAACACAGCCGACAATGGGTCCCGAACCGGCGCCGGCTGTAGCAGAGCAGAATCACAGCCGACAGTGGGTCTCGAACCGGCGCCGGCTGTGGCATAGCGAAGCGAAACACAGCCGACAGAGGCCCCCGAACCTGCGCCGGCTGTAGCAGAGCGGAAACAGCCGACAGTGGGTCCCGAACCGGCGCCAACTGTAGCAGAGGAGAAACACAGTCGAAAGTGGATCTCGAACCGTTGCTGGCTGTAGCAGGGCGGAAACACAGCCGACAGTGGGCCTCGAACCGGCGCCAGCTGTGGCAGAGCACAGAAAAACACAGTCGACAGTACGTCTCGAACCGGCGCCGGATGTGACAGAGCACAGTGAAACACAGCCGACCGTGGGTCCCGAACCGGCGCCGGCTGTGACAGAGCACAGTGAAACACAGCCGACCGTGGGTTCCGAACCGGCGCATTTGCATTATTCGGGCGACGCTGTAGCCGTGGGTTATGCGGCACCCCAGTTTCGCACAACTGACCTGATTTGCCGGCCTGGGCAATGCATCTGTGTCCGTGCGCTGTACCCATGTCATATGAATCAGTCGTTTCGTAACAAAAGCACACACACATTTGTGAGCTATCCTCTTGGTTTCGTAGGTTCCAGGTTCGAATCTCAACCGCTGTGCACTTCGGTGACGTCTTATGTGGCAGCTGACACAAGGGCGGCTGCCACGCCTCTGGCCCACTCAGTGACGTTCGGTAACGTTACCGTTACCACGCCTCTGACCCAGGCAGTGACGTGCGTCGAAATTAAACGTGACGGTCGTGACTGTCCAGGTCACGAGTCCAGGATCAGCCGTATAATCTGCACGGGCGAGTTCATCTTCTCGTCGTCGTACGACAAGACGGCCCGGGCGTGGCTCTTCGACACCAGCGACCTCGGGGACGGCAATGAGAGCAAGGCCTGCATACGAGTCTTCAAGGTATTCGCCCTGCGCTCACTTCAGACCCACGACGCAAGCGTTATCTTGAACTGAACACGAAAAACATTGCATCAGCGCAGTCTGTGGAACAGTTGGTTGCAGACCCAAACACAACTCTTGGTCGGACCCCGATTGTTCTGAAAAACTTTCAAGTTTGGATATGCGCAAACAATTGGGCTATCTTATCGAAAAGTACTCATTGTCCCAGCGAAATACCTGTCAACTGGCACGATACAGAAGTTGAATGCTGGCAACGTTTCGAGGAAGCTTTTAGGCTTGATGTCGGACATTTGAGGCGTAATTGTGATAGGTCGACTCGTAAAGCTTCTCCACGCTTGACCGTGACCTGTCCGAGAAATTTGCAAACCCAAGTGTCGTTCACCACCACCATCGTTCAATCTACCCGAGCATGGACCGCTACCGAGTGTGTGGCGTGGCGCCGGCTTGGTGTGCCGGCCCGGGCGCTCACCTCATCCGCGGTCACAGGGTCACCGCGGCGGAGTCTACCCCATCATCTTCGTGGCGGCCCAAGACCAGGGCTCGGACTCGGAGGTGGACGACGCCGACGCCGACATGGTCACCATCCACCCGGGGGACCTGCTGCTCACCGGGTCCGTCGACAAGACGGCCAAGTCGTGGAGCTTCGACTCCGAGACCGGCTCCAGCCTCCGGGTGCGGAAGACTGCCGTCTGGCCGGTCTGCGGGCCCGCGGGTGTCCGGTGCGAGCGGGCTGATCCAGACTCATCTCGCCTGGGGTGACAAGGGCGCGTCCACTCCGAGTGGCACGGTCCGAACTCACCCCCGATCTCGAGTGACGGTCCGAACTCACCCCCGATCTCGAGTGACGGGGCTGTACCGAGCGTGCGATGGTGTGTGTATTCAGAACAGGAGGCTCTGTCACGACTCAACCGGTCCAGTATATCTATCTATCTATCTATCTATCTATCTATCTATCTATCTATCTATCTATCTATCTATCTATCTATCTATCTATCTATCTATCTATCTATCTATCTATCTATCTATCTATCTATATATATATATATATATATATATATATATATATATATATATATATATATATATACACGACCTGGTGCAGTAATACGCGTTGTGGCGGACTGCTATAATGTAACAGAAGGCGCCTTACCATGCCAAATCAAATCTCATAGTAGACTAAGCTACGGTCGAACCGGTCGCATGACTAACCCCACGAAAGGAACGATCACTGGGAGAGCGATACGAGGGAGGGTGAGTGTTCAAAGTGATGCGAGGAGAGTGGGCAGTGACGTGCTCCGCTCACAAACGCAGCGGTATGCTATTGGCTTGCGATATGATGTGAGTCAGGGAATGGGTCAACCAAGGACGTCACTGAATGTCTTTTCCGTTTGAAGAACACCGGACTACCACCATTTTTTTAGGCTGTCGCCTCTGTTTAATTGTGACACCCTCTGACAGACGTTCCGCGGCCACACGGCCCCGGTGTCGTGCATGGCCACTGACAGAGACGGTACCGTCCTATTCACTGCCGGTCCGGATCGTACCATCAAGATCTGGGAGATCTCCTCGGCGATCTGCAAACAGGTGAAAGATCTATCCGTTTTTTATAAGTTACCCAAGCCGCTACAAAATCGTGTATAAGGTCCAGTGACTGTAAAATAGTGGTCAAAGGACGTAAAGTGCAGCCATGATAGCACCAAGCGGCCACATTCGCAGCCGGAAGCCAAACTCCGTCTCACCTTATGACAGTGCCACGTCCCTCAGAGTGACAGTGCCACGTCGCTCAGAGTAGCAGTGCCACGTCGCTCAGAGTGACAGTGCCACGTCCTTCAGAGTGACAGTGCCACGTCCCTCAGAGTGACAGTGCCACGCCCTTCAGAGTGACAGTGCCACGTCCCTCAGAGTGACAGTGCCAAGTCCTCAGAGTGACAGTGCCACGTCGCTCAGAGTAACAGTGCCACACCCCTCGGAGTGACGGTGCCACGCCCCTCAGAGTGACAGTGCCACGTCCCTCAGAGGTAAAGTGCCACGTCGCTCAGAGTGACAGTGCCACGCCCCTCAGAGCGACGGCGCCACGTCCCTCAGAGTGACAGTGCCACGTCGCTCAGAGTGACAGTGCCACGTCCCTCAGAGTGGCAGTGCCACGTCCCTCAGAGTGACAGTGCCACGTCGCTCAGAGTGACAGTGCCACGTCCCTCAGAGTGGCAGTGCCACGTCGCTCAGAGTAACAGTGCCACGTCCCTCAGAGTGACAGTGCCACGTCCTTCAGAGTGACAGTGCCACGTCACTCAGAGTGACAGTGCCACGTCCCTCAGAGTGACAGTGCCACGTCCCTCAGAGTGACAGTCCCACGCCCCCTAGAGTGACAGTCCCACGTCCCTCAGAGCGGCAGTCCCACGTCCCTTAGATCGCACCATTATGCTGCCTGCTTCGCGGTTCTTTCCCTTAGTTTCAAGCATTGCATGCAATGGCACATCAAAATGCGCACGTATAGGCCATCAGCATGCATTTTTCAGCATTGAACCCAGGGCGTTAGCGCGTAGCATTCCACGCTGCACGTGCGATTGACGCTGGGGCCCTCGAGGCATCAGTAAGCATTGCCTGCGCCGGTCCGTTTCAGACGATGGAGGGCCACAACCAGTCCATAGTCTGCATGCAGGTGGTGAACAAGCTACTGTACAGCGGCTCAGCCGACACCACGGCCCGCTGCTGGGTCACCGAGTTCGGAGACTGCACGCGCACCTACAAGTCCCATAAGCACTCGGTCATCTGCCTGAAGGTGGCCGACGGAGTCGGTGAGTGGGCCCGAGCCATGGCCGGTACACCCACGGACCACGCAGTCGGCACAACCTATCTCACTGCCGGCCAGTTCCGAAACTCAGGGAAGTGTTGCATTATAAACATCGAAAGTATGGTATGTTTTCTATCATCTTTTGCTTGGTCGAGCCGGGTGGACAGTCTTGTGTTTATTGAAAATATGGGTGTAATGTGCACTATGTTGACTGTTATTTGCGTTGGTCTATTTCCCCGGCGGCCAAGGTGCCCTTTTGCTACAAAGTGACAGTTAGGACAGTAGTATTAGCCTTCTTCCTCAGAGAAAAACCGGGTGAATAGAGATATGGTTGGGTTAATATTTCGGCAACATGTCTTTATCGAAACAAGAGCAGAAGTTGAGTTCAAGGCATTAAGACACAGACATGGAGTGAGAGCTAATTTACGGTCATGTCGATGTCCCGCTTGCAGTGTTCACCGGCTGTGGAGACACGCTGGCCCGCGCGTTCGACGCCAAGTCCGGGGCTCTGAAGCGAAGTTACATGGGCCACGAGGCGGCCATCAACTGCCTGCAGTACATCGAGGGCAAACTCTACACGGGCAGCAATGATGGCGTGCTCAAAGTCTGGGACGCCAAAAACATCGCGTCAGTGTGCCCGTCCCAGTCCCTGGGGCTGCACCCCAGCTGCGACTGCTGACAACATGCATTCCAGATGTCCTCCCAGCACCTGGTGTCATTCCCCGCCTGATCACATCCCTTGATCGGATTTTCATCCTTCACACCCGCCCTGCCTTCAACCGGCTTCGTCCCTCACCTGCCATCACTTCATCACCTGCTTTTCTCCGCAAACATGGCGCCTTTCCGTCACCTGGCATCCTCCATTCACCTGGCGCACCTCGTCACCTGCCGTTCTCCATTCATTTGTAATTAGTCAGCTATTGAGTTTTAACGGCCAGTCAACTGCAATAGTTATTTCCGCCCTATTTATCTGGCATCCTACCTTAACATGATGTTCTTTCCCACGTCATGTGCTGTCTGCTACTCTTCTCGCTCTTTTTCTCTGATGTCTTGCCTGCACGCGGTGTGCATCCTTCACGAGCTGCATTTGTTCTTCTGAGTGCTGCCTTCACTTGCCTCCTCTCTTCACCTGGCATCCTTCTCTGACGTGATGTCTTCCCTTCACTTCACGTGATACATACTCCGTCACTTGACATCCTAGCTTTACATCATATCCTGCATTGAGCCGACAGCTTTCCTTCACTGGACATTTCGCTTTCCATGGTATTCTCCATTCACCTCGCAAACCCCGTTCAGCTATCCGTCCCTTCACCTGATGAACCCCACTTACTCGCCGCTCTCTCGTCAACCGAGACTCTCATTTCAACCGAGGATCTCCCTTTAACTAATGCACTCCCTGCAACTGACGTCCCTCCACCACTTAGAAGACTCTCTTCACCAGACATCCACCTCAAATTGTCCCTTCAGCTGACGTCCTCCGCTCTCCAGGGACGACCCGCCGCCGGAGGACACGCAGAACGAGGACGAGGACGAGCAGCCCGAGGAGCGCGGCTACTACCGCGAGCAGGACAAGCGGCTGAAGGACCTGGAGCGAAGGCTGGACGGCGCCAACCAGGACAACATCAACCACGACGACGACATCAAGGCTTACGAGCGCGAGCTGGCTGCCCTCGACGACGACTAGCTGAACAGCGGGCCCCGGCCGGGCCCTGACCGGGCCCAGCTGTGCCTGGCTGCGTTTGGCTGGGCCAGGCTGGGCCAGGCTGGGCTTGACTAGGCCTAGCTGGGTCTGGAGATGTGGAAAAAGGCTGGTAGGCCCAGCTGGTCCCGGTCAGGTACCGCGGCACACAGTTGGGCTCGGGTTCCGCTGCGTCGGACGTGCGGAGCACGTTTCGGCCCGGGCCCGGGCTGGGCCGAAGCCGTGGTTTCGGCCAGCGGGCGCGGGCCGCGGGGGCCGGCCGGCTGGCCCGGAGCTGGGCGGCCGCGGCCACTGACGCCGGCGAGAACCACTGCGGGGCTGGGCAGGGGCGTCAGGGCGGTGGTCGCCGCCAGCTCCCGCGCCGAGCGGCTCCTCCGCCCGCCGCCGCCCGAGCTGGCGGCCCGTCGCCAGGGCGCGCGGCGGTGCGGCGGTGCGGCGGGCCGCGAGCAGAGCGACTCCACGCCCGCCGCCGCCCGAGCTGGCGGCCGGTCGCCAGGGCGTGCGGCGGTGCGGTGGTGCGGCGGGCCGCGAGCAGAGCGGCTCCCCGCCCGCCGCCGCCCGAGCTGGCGGCCGGTCGCCAGGGCGCGCGGCGGGGCGGCGGGCCGCGAGCAGAGCGGCTCCTCCGCCCGCCGCCGCCCGAGCTGGCGGCCCGTCGCCAGGACGCGCGGCGGTGCGGCGGTGCGGCGGGCCGCGAGCAGAGCGGCTCCCCGCCCGCTGCCGCCCGAGCTGGCGGCCCGTCGCCAGGACGCGCGGCGGTGCGGCGGTGCGGCGGGCCGCGAGCAGAGCGGCTCCTCCGCCCGCCGCCGCCCGAGCTGGCGGCCCGTCGCCAGGACGCGCGGCGGTGCGGCGGTGCGGCGGGCCGCGAGCAGAGCGGCTCCCCGCCCGCCGCCGCCCGAGCTGGCGGCCCGTCGCCAGGGTGCGCGGCGGTGCGGCAGTGCGACGGGCCACGAGCAGAGCTACGCCCCCTGTTCCGACGTTCGGTAGATGCTTACGTTTTGGTCTGTCAATAGATATGTTAATAGTGAACTGCGACATGGTCTTGGTCGTGTTTGTTTTTAGTGTGGCTTAACGCGACTTTCAAATCGGTTCATTTGAGAGAATTCGGGACGAGGGCAGACAAAGGTCAGAGTAGTCGTTATATTCGATCGGGCTACGAATAGGCTTACTCCATATCAAACACACGGGTACAGAAGACGCTAGTTAAGTTCATGTATTATTAGGTGCATTTTTCAAGTTGGGTGCTTATTCTACCTGGGCACGGTGGGAAGGCGAATAAAAAGTGCAAGCATGGCTACTGACTTGTCACACATATTGAGTACATTATAACATTTTCAGACTGGATTTTAGCTTAGCGACAGTTGTAGATTATTGCACCAGAAAGGCTTCAGAGCTTGTACTGTTCCTACAGAGCTCCCGCACAAAACCCTTAAATTGTGACTGACTTGTTTTGGCTGAAGTTCACTCCATCGCCTTCTCACAACTATGTCCCCCATCATGACGACGGCTTTTAAATGTCGGTTTGTCTTCAGAGCCGGACATACGTAATTGTTGCATGAATAGCAATTTCGATGTGTTCAATAAATAAAAATCATAGGAAGCGTCCCGTTAAATGAAGCGTGATGAGCAGCGCGCTCGCGAAAACAGCTGGCGAGGTACATTCGAACAACATCCTTATTCATTTCAGCAGAACACCTTATGGATTGCTCCCAGAATCTAGCCAAACCCCATTCGCCACCTTTGAATTTAATTCAAAAGATAATATTCCACTGCTTCACAAATTCCAAATGCCACCCGGTCCTATCTTTTAAAGCATAAATTAAAGCCTTTGTGATGTCAGTTACAATATAGATACAGGCATACCCATGACTTGAAAACGGCATCAGACAATGCTTTTTCACTCAACTGACATTAAACAACGGTTTGTCCAATTAGTACCAGCATGGTATGCAATGACAGTTTATAGTCCAGTACAGCCCTAATCCTTATCGCGTGCAGTTTCCCCACGTCCAGTCCAGTCTATCCCTTAATCATGTGTCCATGGATTTGACCCAAGAAGAGCTGCATTCTTCAGGTCACACGCCACGACCGATAGCTATTCACACGTTGGTGGGCGACGATGACGCCCTCGCACATATGAAACGTCAACGAGTCACCGAGAGGTATTCTTACCTAACTACAAGCTAAAAATGGTTCAAGTGCCAAAAAACATCTCGATTAACTCCATATCAGTGTAATTCGAGATATCCTACAATTGCTTGAAGTTGAAAGTGCATTAACTGAATAAGATGAACCATTTGGGATAAAACACCCTACCGTATATAATATCTGTTTCACAACAATTCAGTGAGCATATATATATATATATATATATACATCTCTCTCTCTCTCTCTCTCTCTCTCTCTCTCTCTCTCTCTCTCTCTCTCTCTCTCTCTCTCTCTCTCTCTCTCTCTCTCTCTCTCTCTCTCTCTCTCTCTCTCTCTCTCTCTCTCTCTCTCTCTCTCTCTCTCTCTCTCTCTCTCTCTCTCTCTCTCTCTCTCTCTCTCCTCTCTCTCTCTCTCTCTCTCTCTCTCTCTCTCTCTCTCTCTCTCTCTCTCTCTCTCTCTCTCTCTCTCTCTCTCTCTCTCTCTCTCTCTCTCTCTCTCTCTCTCTCTCTCTCTCTCTCTCTCTCTCTCTCTCTCTCTCTCTCTCTCTCTCTCTCTCTCTCTCTCTCTCTCTCTCTCTCTCTCTCTCTCTCTCTCTCTCTCTCTCTCTCTCTCTCTCTCTCTCTCTCTCTCCTCTCTCTCTCTCTCTCTCTCTCTCTCTCTCTCTCTCTCTCTCTCTCTACATGCTGTGCGTTCACTGGCTGACCACTGACATGACATCGAGCGAATTTGTGTCGCGTGAGGGTGTCGACCGTCGGGGCAATGCAAGGTCATGCAGGATATTGCACGCTCGAAAATCAAAGATGTTGATCTGTTTCAAGTACATAGATATATGTATATATATATATATATATATATATATATGTATATATATATGTATATATATATATATATATATATATATATATGTATATATATATGTATATATATATATATATATATATCTCTCTCTCTCTCTCTCTCTCTCTCTCTCTCTCTCTCTCTCTCTCTCTCTCTCTCTCTCTCTCTCTCTCTCTCTCTCTCTCTCTCTCTCTCTCTCTCTCTCTCTCTCTCTCTCTCTCTCTCTCTCTCTCTCTCTCTCTCTCTCTCTCTCTCTCTCTCTCTCTCTGTCTATCTATCTATCTATCTATCTATCTATCTATCCATCTATCTATCTATATCCATCTATCTATCTATATATCTTTATGGTAAAGTACATCCTGGTATGTACTTGAAACAGATCAACATCTTTGATTTTCGAGCGTGCAATATCCTGCATGACCTTGCATTGCCCCGACGGTCGACACCCTCCCGCGACACAAATTCGCTCGATGTCATGTCGGCGGTCAGCCAGTGAACGCTCAGCACAGCGACGGCCAACTCCACCGGTCGTCAACCTTAACAACGACTGGGCATGTACAAACAGGTGGCCTGGCTCGAAGGAGGGCTGAGGGGGGAGGCTGACAGGCAGGAAGGACTGGTGCTAATGCAGATGTTTATCTTCCGCGTGAAACTCCATGCAGCGGGCACTCTGATGCGTTTCCAAACCTCATGAATGTTTGAAGTCAGGTGTAACCCAAGAAAAGTAATGCTAGACGTTAGCTGACTTATCGATGCAGTGGCAGCAACGTGCTCAAGAGCTGCAGCTCCGGCGGACCGTCGACTGTCGGCGCTGGCCCCCGCAACTCATGTGGTTGACTGCACGAGCGCCATTCATTATCACATGGCGCCTTTTCACTGGTCACGCGCCCCCGGCTCATTGATCGACATGTTTGTGGAAAGCAATTCCAGCATCACTTAACGCACGCACCACATCCTCAGCTATATTATGGGCTGGCATATTTATTCCAGACTTCTTCTTTATCCGACAGAGTTAATATAATTAGTTGGAGAATCTACCAGTCACATACCTCATCATGAGTGGTGTCATGCACTCGATGGGTTTCTGAGATTTCCAAAATTTGGGAACACTTGGAGGGCGATGGGCACCGCTGAGGGACCTGATGAGACCCCTTCATCCATTGTTAATATACAAGGGGTTCACAATGCATCGCTTGGTATTTATAACTCTGTTTTTTGCTTTCTTGAGCAGTGTACGCATGCCATCGGGCACCAGTTTTTTCCGAGTAAAAAACTGAAGGCCAGGTTGCCTGACCGATGCGTTTACCTCGCCTGATCCCAATCCCTGCTCTCTTGCAAGGGCCCGTCTGGCCCAGCGCCTGTATGGGTGTCCGGTATGGTGGGCCCGTCTGAACACGCCCGCAGTGTCCAGTGAGGTGGACCCACCAGCCCCTGGTCCCGGTGTCCCACGGTAGTCTCCGTGTCCGGGGCGGTGGGACCCGCGTGACATGTGTGACCGCGGGGTCCCCTTGTCCGCTGCGGTCACCCATTTGCCGCTGATCTCTGCTGGCTCAAGGCGGTGATCATGACTGACCTCGGCTTCGGAGTCCGTTAGTTCAGCTGATCTAACCCTGATCTGGGTGCTCAGGGTGGCGGGCCCGCCTGACCTTGGCCTCGGTGCCCGGTGAGGTGTACCCATCCGACCCTGATCTGGGTGCTCAGGGTGGCGGGCCCGCCTGACCTTGGCCTCGGTGCCCGGGGTGTTACCGTCCGACCTGATTGGGGCTCAGGGGGGCCGCCTGACCTTTGCCTCGGTGCCCTGGGGGTCCGACCCTGATGGGCTCAGGGTGGCGGGCCCCGCCTGACCCTGACCTCGGTGGCCGGTACGGAGTACCCGTCTGACCCTGATCTGGGTGCTCAGGGTGGCGGGCCCGCCTGACCCTGACCTCGGTGCCCGGTGCGGTGCATCACACGTCTGATCCCGATCTCGACACCCGGCGCGGTCAGCCCCGTTCTGCCCTGCTCGCGGCCCAGCCGCGCTGGCTCGTCGCTGCGATCGCGGCCGCCGTGCTCACATGGCGACCCGGCAGCGGCGGTAAACAGCGCTCGCCCGGTGCCAGGCGATGGGCCAGCGCCGCGTTACCCGGCCGGCCAGGCAAACAGGCGGCCTCGGCGCCGGCCACTCAGTCGGTCTCGTCGCCCCCACCGCCGGCCCGAAGCAGCCACACCGGCCCGATCGCCGGCGCCAGCACTGGTACGCACCCTCGGGTAGGTGAGACCGTCCGGGTGCCGTCTGCGCTCTTCACTCTCTGGTGCGTGAGAAAGCGGGGGCCGAAGCTGTAAGAATGAGGTGTTTAGGACAGGCGAGACTGTCATAATCGCAGTGTGCGTTATTCTATTCGGATCCACGCGCTACTGAGATGACAATGGTGCGGCAACGAATGCTTAACGTTGAGGGGTATTGCGTGTGAACAGCACACGACGGTTGCTGGCTTTAACTCACAACCGCGTGAGGAAGTAACCAAGTCATGCTGCCGCCGATACCTTCAGAATCGATCCAACAAAGTCCGGTCGTCTAATTTTTTTATAATCACCATCCCACTGGTGTGACACATTTCAGCAAATGTATGCAGTGCTTAAATGTGCTAGGTCAGATCACGGCGGTATGGGGTCATTACTTTACAGCTGTTTGTGCTATTGCCAGCAAAAATTTGCAGCTCTTCTTCCAGTCAATATATCAGCTAATTTGTCAGAGAAATGTACAGTCAAAGACAGTATCATGTGATCACTATATTAAAATCGAGTCACGTTTTGAAATGCCAATACACGCCAGTTCGCTTTAAGCCAGTTTTCAAGCCGTATGGATGCCTGGTCCACAAAGCCGTCAGACGACTCTGGCGTCCTTCGAGGTATTGTAGCAGTGACATCAACCACCTGGAAAAGGAAACATAGCACCACCCGGTGTCAAGTTGCCAAGCTCATTCATTGCTGTATAACTTTTCTCGGTTCATTTCAGGTGTATTGACATGACGGGTATTTTGAATGCATCCAAAGAAAATCGTGATCTTGTGCTATGTTTATTTCAAGTACCCAAGTGTCCGTTACACGTGACCACGCGTCAGAAAGTTGTCTCGCTCATAGAGCAATAAGAGCAACGCAAAGAGCCATACTTCAGACAAACCTTAATAGCTGTAAAACAAGGTTGTTGCATCCGATGTTAAGATATGTGACAGTATACATCATTAATACAGGCTCGCAAAAGCTTAGACCTGAAAGGGCGCATATGTACAACTAAAAAAACAGTGCTGGCATAGAGGTGGCCAAAAACCCGATGCATCCAGGAATATAAATTTGGTTGCCCACTACAAATATTTCCATTTCAATAATTTCACATACACTTTTTGTTTGGTGTCATCAACCAGGCGTAAAATATGTAGATACTTTTTCGCTTTAAAGATGACTGTATACGGCAACGTTACATAGATCTGTCCTGTTCCCCAATAGGGCTTTGATTACATGTTGTCAACGTTTTAGTTTAGTTCACATGTTGGGCTACATTTTCAACATGACCTCATTAAACTTCGCAGCTGCGGTTGTAGTGGTGGCCTACGTGTGACGCTGCCTAATGCGCCTACGTGTACCGTTGCTGTTCGCTCCACTACACCCGAGCTACATTCCGCCCAAGCGCAAATCGAAACCAGCGCACGGCGATCTCGCCAGCCTCCTCTCGTTCAGGTGTCCAGCCAATCTCGTCAAGATGGGGGGCGGCATGAGCAAGGACCGCAACAAGAACTGGGACCTGGAGGCGATCATCGACCACGAGAGCAGCATCAACGTGATGGCTGTGAGCGAGGACAAGTCGGTGCTGGTGACGGGCTCCGAGGACTGCACCGCCCGTATGTGGAGCACCCAGGGCGAGGAGACCGAGTGCATGGGCATACTCAGGTGAGGACCGTCGGGCGCAGACGCGCTGAGGACGGGAGGAAGGCGACGGCCTGTGCTGAGGACGAGGCGGGGGTGTGGCGTGATTGATCGGGTGGGTTCGCCGGGATGACGACATTCGGCTCGGGGAGAGCCGGTGTCGGACTTCGTGAGAGCTTCTGTAAGGCTTGTCGAGCTTGTTGCGGCAAGTTTGGGCATTGGAGCTCCAGTGCAGCTGTTCTGATGCGTTCCACAGGGGCCACAAGAACTACATCACCACCATCGGCACGGTGGGAGTGTACGTCATCACGGGGAGCGCCGACACCACCATCAGGAAGTGGGAGATGGCCACTTGCGCCTGCGTCTTCGTCTACCAAGGTCTGGGCGGGCCCACAGGCAGCGAGAGACGCGACCCACTGGCACAGACATTGGGGACGTATCTGATAGCCGCTCCTCGTTTAAAGCTATGGGTCCTCTCGCGTGTACCGGGTAGGACGAGCATATAGGAAACGCAGATACCAGTCGATCCAGTCAGTAAACTGCCATCCTGCCAAGGTCTTGATGAAGCACGCAAACACCAATTCATTTTGGCGTTGAGTGGAGAATTCGTTGGACCTCGTACTATATGGTAATTTAACAAATCCAGAAATAGTAACCAAAGCAATTCAATTGCACGAGAATCTGTCAAACGGCTCAACCACACTGTGAACATGTTTTAAAAGCAGTTACTATAGCAGGTGCGCAGCATATTGCGTTCATAGGGTGTTGAGCATAGCGTGTGCCTTTTTATGTGCATGCATGCATAAAAAGCCAAACTGCCCTCACCCCATGCCCAGCCGTGATACATCCTTTCAGGGCTTGCATCCCCAATGACATTGGAAGCTTCTTCCTTACTTCATTTCCACGGCTGCACTTGAAAATCTTGGACTTGAAATATTCAGATTTTTTGTTGTTGAAAACGTAGATTTTCATTTTTCTTTAAATTGTGTGACCTTTAACAAACACGGAAGAGTCCAGTTAGACGGTAGGTTTGTGCTCAACAGTTGGAAGTTCAAAATGACCATAAGATGTAAAAGTGTATAATGCCTTTACCATTTTAAAGCACACACACTTTGGGTGTGGCTTTTAAGCTGCTTTAAACGTATTCTGGTGCTCTTTTGAAACGCATAAAGTCTCAGCCTGAATTTACTCTTGGTTCTTTTTTCATTTTTGAGTTTTCAACCGTTTAGTTTTGCCATCTAATCGCATTTAGTACGCAGCTATTTGATACAGAATAACCGCAACAGATGTTGGCGCTCCATCTTTGGTTGCAACGCCACTAGTCAAAAACTACCGCAATAGGGGTACGGTCACGGCATTTTACTTCCCACAGAGTCTGTTAAACCAAAAACTTTGCAGGAGTATTACAGGACAAACGGAAACCTGCCCACACCAAAGAAGAGTGAAATGAATCAGGGGAGGGGCACGCCGTAAATTCCCATGCATTTAATTGAAAAGAGCTTGTTTAGATGTCCCTTCAACGCAAAAAACGCGGCGGTGGACAACCAAATCCAACACTTTGGTGTTCACCCAGTCAGCCGCGTCCTCAACCCAGGGCCTGCCGAGTTTTCTGCAGTGGCGCGCCGGCTCACCGGGCCCTCCCCACCGGGCAGGCCACACCTCGCGGGTCACGCGCGTGCTCTGCACAGCCGACTTCCTGATCTCGTCCTCCTACGACAAGACCTGCAAACTGTGGCTGTTCGAGACCGAGGATGACGACGACGAGGAGTCCGTCTGCATCCGCACGTTCGAGGTAAGCGCTGTCCTCCGCGTCCTCTGGGGACAGGGACGGGAGCTGTGGCTCCTGACGGCGGTTTCAAGGTGTTAGTGGTGTCCCAGAAGCGTTTTGCTCGTTTTGATGCTTCCGTTATTCGGTAATACAGTGCTTAGATATTGTACTGCGCTGTGGCGATGAATAACGATGACAAGATAGACAAAGCGCATTACAATGGCATCAACGTCCTAATTAAGATGGACCAATCCTTGGAGGTCACGTGCACAATTTGCTCTCACATACGTTGGCAACATAACAGCTCATTTGACTCATCGTAATTTGCAATAAATTCTTAATGAGGTCTATGACATCTCAAGCCTCTGGCTGTTGTTACGTTAGCATATCAACGCTAACATGCTTTGCCATAGCGTGACCACTGCAACATCTGACGAGACGAAAAAGGATTGTTTTCGGGAGCAGCCAACTTCGTCACGATCTCGTCATCGCTGCGGTGGCTTGAGAGGGGTCGTCCGGTCCAACAGGGTCACACGGCCGGCGTCTACCCGATCTGCTTCATCCCCGGCGATGACGAGCAAGGGGACGCGGCCAAGACGGAGGCCGGGGCCGAGGAGTCCGAGAACCAGGAGCAGCAGCGGGAGGAGGAGGACCAGGACCTGGAGGCTGGCATCAGTCCGCGGGACGTGCTGGTCACGGGCTCGGCGGACGGCACGGCTCGCTCGTGGTCGGTCGCCACGGGAAGGCAGATCAAGGTACCGGCCGTCTGCGCTCTGCAGCGCTGCTGCCGACCCACGGCTGATGTCATGTATCATACGGTGCCTGCCGCCTGCGCTCTGCAGCGGTGCTGCCGACCCACGGCTGATGCCATGTATCACACGGTGTCGGCCGTCTGCGCTCTGCAGCGCTGCTGCCGACCCACGGCTGATGCCATGTATCACACGGTGTCGGCCGTCTGTGCTCTGCAGCGCTGCTGCCGACCCACGGCTGATGTCATGTATCATACGGTGCCGACCGTCTGCGCTCTGCAGCGCTGCTGCCGACCCACGGCTGATGTCATGTATCATACGGTGCCGGCCGTCTGCGCTCTGCAGCGCTGCTGCCGACCCGCGGCTGATGTCATGTATCATACGGTGCCTGCCGCCTGCGCTCTGCAGCGGTGCTGCCGACCCACGGCTGATGTCATGCATCATACAGTGCCGGCTGTCTGCGCTCTGCAGCGCTGCTATCGACCCGCGGCTGATGTCATACATCATACGGTGTCGGCTGTCTGCGCTCTGCAGCGCTGCTACCGACTCACGGCTGAACCCATACATTATACCCGCAATCATGTCCGATACCTTAACCATCATTATGAAACTGATAAGTAATTTATTGATATCCGTGCTTCACAACTTGGTAGCCATGTTGTTTTATTCATCATTGTGTTAGGACACAAAAGTTGCAAATTGTTTGCAGAAAGAGCGTGATGTGGTATATTGACAGTGGCATACCGCGATGCTTTATAACAAATCAGTCTTTATCTTTTCCACACTTATCATTTCCTGAGGCAGAGTCAATTTGACACTCGTATGTCAAACATGATCTTACCTCTATAACAAACATGATCTTGACCTGTATGACGGAACACACGCCATTTCATGTCATCCGCCTAATCCGTTAAGCGTACATGCCAGCTTGTCAGTAATGATGCAGCGTCGCGTGGCGCCGTCGGCAGATATTCAAAGGGCACCGCGGCCCGGTCAGCTGCATGGCCATCGACAGTGACGGCAAACTGCTGTACACATCCGGACCGGACAAGACCGTTCGCGAGTGGGACATCGAGAAGGGCGTCTGCACCAAGGTGAGGCGGACAGGAAAGCAGACTCTGTCGCAGTGAACTCGGCACGAGACAAACTGGACCATGGTGAGTTTTCCGGGGGGACGAGACAAAACACACTGCACTTCTATTGCAATTTTCTCGGTACATGTTGCTTAGGTTTCAGTTGGTGTTTTTGGAGTGTTCCGGAAGGGCTCATAGGATCCCTTATTCCCTGCCACTTTGCACCTATCCGGCCAATAGCATCCCTCGTCACCGATAATGGCCCTTCCCCACTCCTCTAATGCGCGAATGGATCACTAGGCCCCTCAGCACCGATCATATCGGCCATTTAACATCACCTGGTGTGCCAACATGGCTGCCGCTGCACCGCGCCCGTCGCGCGTTGACGCCGCGTCTGACAGCTGCTGCTGCAGCGCGTCTGACAGCTCCCGATTCAGCCGCGCCTAACAGCTCTGATCCAGCCGCGTCTGACAGCTCCTGATCCAGCCGCGTCTGACAGCTCCTGCTTCAGCCGCGTCTGGCAGCTCCTAATCCAGCCGCGTCTGACAGTCCCTGCTTCAGTCGCGTCTGACAGCTCCTGATCCAGCCACGTCTGACAGCTCCTGCTTCAGCCGTGTCTGACAGCTCCTGCTCCGCCGCGTCTGACAGCCCCTGCTGCGCCGCGTCTGACAGCCCCTGCTGCAGCCGCGTCTGACAACTCCTGCTTCTGCCGCGTGTGACAGCTCCTGCTTCGCGAGCAGTGGCTGTCGCCGCGCCGCAGACAATGCCAGACTGCCGCCGTGCACAGACGGTCGCTAACGTTCTCGTGGCTCTCTCCGCCGCAGCTGTTGAGCGGCCACAAGGACGCCGTCGTCTGCATGCAGGTGGTGAACAAGCTGATGTACACGGGTTCGGCCGACACCACGGCCCGCTGCTTCATCACCGAGTTCGGAGACTGCACGCGCACGTACAAGTCGCACCGCGACACTGTCATCTGCCTGCGGTTCCATAACGGCATTCGTGAGTGTGGCCTCGCCCGGGGAGCGGGAGGAGAAGGGGGAGGGGGGGGGGGGGGCGGGGTGCTGCTGCTGGCGTTAGTATGACGGAGCTGTGAGGGCGCTAGGAGCTGGCTCCCAGCTGGACACGCTCAGACACAGGAGGCAAGTGAATTGGATTGTCCCGGGTGAACTCATGCGGGGTGTCTTTGGGATCAGTGCAAAAAGGTTAACTCGGGCTTAGAACACACATACGACATACCGACAGTTTTAGAGAATTAAACCTGCTGTGCTGGCAAAGCTTTTTACTTCAATATTCCAAGCGAACTTTTTCCACAAAACCCGCCATGAGGACCACCATGAAATTTTTATGGGTGTGACAGACCCTCGGGCCGTCACGTGAGGCAGGAGCGCAGCCCGCGGTGCCCACCGGCCGTGACCAACTGGATTACAGCTACACCAGCTGCCTGACACGTGTACGGGCTCCTCGCAGTGTTCACCGGCTGCGCCGACATGGTGGCCCGTGCCTTCGACGCCAAGTCGGGCAACCTGAAGCGCGTCTACATGGGTCACGAGGCGGCCATCAACTGCCTCACGGTGGTCGGCAAGAAGCTGTACACCGGAGGCAGCGACGGCACGCTGCGAGTCTGGGACGCCGACGTGCCGTGAGTCTAGCAGGCACAGACTGGGAGTCCGGCAGGCACAGGCTGGGAGTCCGGCAGGCACAGGCTGGGAGTCCGGCAGGCACAGGCTGGGAGTCCGTCGGGCACAGGCTGGGAGTCCGGCAGGCACAGACTGGGAATCCAGCGGGGACAGGCTGGGAGTCGGGCAGCACAATCTGAGAGTCCGACGGGGTTAGTCTGAGAGTTCGTAAGAAACGGGCTGAGGCCGGCGGAGACGGGCTGAGAGCCACGCTGAGAGTCCGGGGGACAGGCTGAGGGCCTGGCAGGCGCAGACTGGCAGTTCGGCGGGGACAGGCTGGGATCCCGACGGGAACAGGCTGAGAGTTGGGCGGGGATGTGATAGGAATCCGACGGGAACAGGATGGGAGTCAGGCGAGGACGGGCCAGGATTTCAGTGAACATGGACTCGGAGTACAACGCGGACGGGTCAGGAAGCCCGCGCGGCCGGGCGCTTAGATGCTCACAGTTTGGAAATTCACGAGTCATGAAATCAGTGCGCATGCACGGAGAAAGTGGAGCGTCTTGTGGTTGGGAGCCCTGACACTGAGCTGTGCAGGCACGGATTTGGGAACGCGACACCTCACGTACAGAGCTTTTGATGTTGCGTGCATTGCCGTGCGTTCTTCCATCGTGATCTGTACTTCTTCTCTATCTGTCGCTGTTCCCTGCTGTGAAGCACACAATCTGGGACAACACGCGGTTGTACGTGCCAAGATTTTCGAGGTATGCAAGCGCTTTGGATTCTGCGCTGGGTGACCACCGGACATTTGATCGTTACACACTTCAAGCACCACGTTGGGCTCGGCGTAGGAGACATACGGCTTCACACAGTCATCTCTTACAACAGGGGCTCATTTGAATCCAATCCTTGCATCGCTGGAGCATATTCAGGCAGCATGCGTACGGCGTAAGTAGGTGAACGTGACGAAGTGCTGCAAGGTACGAACTTGGTTTGACCAGTTCCATGTTTACACATGACAAGATCTCATTTTGCCTCTTCAGCCGTATCATTGGCAAGCTGTTGTATTATGTGCACTACCTACAGGTAACCGGTGGCGCGCATAACACTTTCGCGGTGTTCTACATTCCTTCCACTGTAGTGAGTGGCAGATCGCGTGTGCTTACCCGCTTACAGCTTTGCTAAAACTGTTTTCACGCTTGCTGTTGCTTGCTTGGTTGTTTTACGCTTGCTGGCAAGGCAGGGAAATGCTCGCAACTCCCGAAGCCCCTTCACACCTTGCTCCCGGCCACCCGACGTTGTCTATCCACGTACCAAAACTTACCCTTGCCATGAGGGCACCCCACACATATCCCACGCAGCCCACACCCCATAGTATGGTGATAGTCAAATGAAGCAAGTTATACGTACCGCGAGCACTCCGGCCTCGCAGACGCTAATGCATAAGAACCAACAATGCGCAAGGAAAATCGCACAACTCTTTCTCGACGCAGGTTCCGCCACTAAAATCGCAAGAAGTTAAAATGTCAATGCAAACCTCGCTGAAACACTTTCATCAAAGAAGTTCTACTTATGCGTGTCGCTGTGCACAGCAAGTGCCATTTTCCAGAGCAAAATAGTGAAATGATGGCCATTTCAAAAGACGAGTTACCATTTTTTCAAAAAGATGGTCACTTATATGTTACTTTATAGATACTATACCATTACATTTGTTCAACAGATACTATGCCATCGCGCGGCACAGGCCGCTCATTTCCAAACGCCAGACTTGTATTCTTCTGACAGCCATGACATACATGACACGCACGCTGTCACAGCTTCCTGGCCTTACCTGCTGAGCTCGGTCCTACCCTCGCGCGCTCGCGCACCCCCAGCCCTCCCTCACCGGTCAGGGTCCCATCCGTCTTCCTTGCTACACAGCCGCGCGCTCGCGCACACTCGGCCCGCCCTCACTGGTCTAGGTCACGCCCTTCTTCCTTGCTACACACCGCGCGCTCGCGCACCCCCAGCCCGCCCTCACTGGTCCAGGTCACGTTCCTCTTCCTTGCTACACACCCGCGCGCTCGCGCACCCCCAGCCCTCCCTCACCGGTCAGGGTCCCATCCATCTTCCTTGCTACACACCTGCGCGCTCGCGCACCCTCGGCCCGCCCTCACTGGTCCAGGCCACGTCTCTCTTCCTTGGCACACACCCGCGCGCTCGCACACCCCCAGCCCACCCTCACCGGTCAGGGTCCCATCCGTCTTCCTCGCTACACGCCGCGCGCTCGCGCACCCTCGGCCCGCCCGCACCGGTCCAGGTCACGTCCCTCTTCCCTGCCACACATCCGCGCGCTCGCGCACCCCCCAACCCGCCCTCACCGGTCAGGGTCCCATCCGTCTTCCCTACTACACAGCCGCGCGCTCGCGCACCTTCAGCCCGTCCTCACTGGTCCAGGTCACATCCCTCTTCCTTGCCACACATCCGCGCTCTCGCGCACCCTCAGCTCGCCCTCACTGGTCCAAGCCCCTCAGTCCCGCCCTCACGCGCTCGCGCGCCCCCAGCTCGCCCTCACCCGGCCAAGCCCCTCAGTCCCGCCCTCGCGCCAGCGCACCCTCAGCCCGCCCTCACCGGTCCGGGTCCGCTGCTGCTGTGCTCGGCGTGACCGGCCACGTGACCCGCTTTCAGTGACGAGGACGCCCTGATGCCGCGACCGGTGAGCCGGTCCTCCGTGGCGCCGTCGCCCGACTCTCCCGAGCCCCACCCCGCCGTCGGTCACCCGGCTCCCGAGCCCCAGTTCACGGCCGAGGCAGCGCCGTCGCCTGAGCCCGAGCCCCCTGCGGAGGCGGAAGGCGAGCCGGATCACGCGTCGACTCACGTGGCGCCTCGCTCGGCGGCCGAGCTGGCGAGGGCGTGAAGGCCCGTCCGTTGGCGATGTCGCGGGCCGGCTGACACGGGAGGCGCGAGCGGTGGTGTGCTTGGCTGCAGAGACACTCGCAGAACACGTGTGTGTGCGCCCTCCGCAGCACAGATTTGCACGCCGTAACGACACGTAACAGAACGTTGACACCTGCGACGAGCGTGCATTCGCGGACACAGTAGCACATATCCAGAGATTGTATCTAAGTAGCTATGGCGCAGCTGGCACCAAAAACCAACCAAGGCACGCTTGTGATTAGTGGTAACATGACAATAACAAGACGTGAGCGTCAATCACTATATCAAACATCAGCGTCCGCTTGATCCATTGGAGCCACTGACGTGGCGCGAATATGCCCCTTCCTTAAAACGAAGCTTGGTCTACACGTCGCTACCAAAACGGCACGTAAGTACGACCGCTTCCGTGTGCACAACGTGCGTGCTCTGCATCGTGACTGCCCGGCGTTGGGTGCACTTGCGTGCAGCTGGCGCTGGCACGGAAAACGGAAACAGCCCAGCTGGCTTTGCATGCCACACAGCCATGTCTACAGTAGGCTACGGACGAGGGTTACGGGCGAAATTACCACAGTCGGCAGTAACAAAGCTTGCAGCTGTACATGCGGATCCCTGGTGGTGGATCCCCGTGAATCCCTGGTGATTATCACGGGATGTCGGTATTCTGCAGCTGAACATGCGGATCCCTGGTGGCGGATCCCCGTGAATCCCTGGTGATTATCACGGGATGTCGGTATTCTGCAGCTCACGCAGCAAGGGGCATGGTCATTCTTCGCTTTTTAATGAGGGACTGGCCTGGTCGTCGACAATCGAAAACCAAGATGGTGTAAATTTCGCGACCATCGCAGTCCATTTGCCAGACTTTTTGTCCTTTGCCTAGCAGCGATATCCCGCCGCACCCAAAAATTGTTCTGCCTGCAATACCTTACACTTACAAGCTGACCAATGGTTATACACCAATCAGTTATGCATTTCATGATTTATCTTGGCACATTCATGAAAATCATTGCTGAGGATCCACCGTTGGCTATGATTGGAAGCAACTGTTCGCGAAGTTTATACGACATGTCGTTTGTTTGACGATAAATTGAAGTTCCTTAGAATTGATTGGGAGTGGCCCATTAAACATCAGTAAGGACTTGCCCCAGCGATCGTTGGAAACAACTGTTCGCAAGCTTTAACAACATATCGTTCGCCTTACGACGAATTCAAATCACCTGGGACTGCGTGCATTCTACCAGAGGCCAAAACGTTTGGCGGCCTTGTACGCTCCCAGGGCAGTGTAATGTGGCAGACTCCCGTTTACCATCGCCACCCACAACCGTGACGTGACTCCGTCACCGCTTACGGTCGCGTGGTACGTGCTGGAAAGTTGGCGAGTTGAATCAAAACTAATTAGGTGATAATTTACGAAATGAAATGAATAAGCGTAACGAACGAAACTGAATAAATATAAGGAATTGAGCACGGGAAATGAAAATGGAATCCCCTTGGGAGGGAACAATGATAGGATTACAAACATACATAAACGTAATAAAGCACTGACAAACATGACCAAACATAAGAGTTCTAGGGTTCATCTTTGCCTGACTTCCACCTAGCTGACAAGGAATTTTTTTACAAACGATTTTTACTCCTACCAAGTTGAAAGATTTCCTTAAATATTTGAGCCACATCGCCAGACAAACTAGCGTCTTATGTCTTGATATTCGATAGCAACTATCAGGTGTTGAGCTTGCTTTTCACTAGCCGGTTTTTCAGGCTGTTTTGAATGGTTCAGGCCACCCTCATTGGCAACTGTAATGACCCTATGACTCCCGATATTTTCCGGGACAGGTCATTGTTAATGAATGGCATTTCGCATGCGTTTCGCGAAGAACTATCGTCGCGCACCCCGTTTCGTGCGCAGCTGGCTGTCTGCCGCGCATGCGCCTGACGCGCCCGCCCGCTGCAGACTGGACGAGTCCTCCGAGATGGAGCTGCAGCTGGAGGAGAAGGGTGCCACCGAGGTGGCTGACAGCGGCGCTGGTGCCGGCTCCGCCGCCGCGCCACCGCAGGCCGACTCGCCGGAGCCGCAGTCGGACGTCCTGACGGCGGTCCAGACGACCGTCCAGCCGGCGGCTGCCTAGGCGGCCACGCATACGAGCTTACCAATCGACTAATCTAAGACCAGAAACCCAGATCTGGAGCTGCAGGAGCTTACGCCTCCAACTCCAGGAGCTTCGGTTTATGAGCCCAGCACTGTAGGTCAAAATGTCTCGAAGCTTAGGCCCCGTAGCCCAGAAGTTTGGACGCAGCAGCTCATCAGCACTGAAGTTTGACATGAAGCTTAGTTCTGGACGCACCCACACCGCCTGCAGTCACTGTCTCGCACCGCTCTGCCGCAGAAACGATGAGCTGGAGCTGCTGGGCGCTGCACCGGAGCGGGAGCACGGGGAGCAGGGCGCTGTCCGACCGAGCGGCCCCGAGGACACACGCACCAGCACCGTGGTGATCCAGTGACGTCACGCGTGCGCCGGCGGTGTTTGCCGACGTGTCGCGAGCGGGATGGGTGGTCGAATTTGGCAAAATGTGAGGCAAAGTTTGGCGGAAACTGACTCCGCATGAGATGATGGTGAAATGGCTGGCCAATCACTGCACAAGCGCCGTGAAAGTATTGTTTGACGCCCCCAAATCAAGACTAAAAGATCATACGCTTAGTCATTTCAAGACCACCGCTGCAAAGTAAATTTTCGAAGTGCGCTGCAAAGTAAAATGCAAAGTAAGTTAACTACGTGCCGACCGCAGAGAATGAGCAAAAGAACTCACTTAGCTCGAAACCAAAGTTAACTGTTCACATCACAGAGGCATGAGTCACCGGTGCTGTTGACGCTCTTTTGGCTTCGTGCCAAAATCGGCCGTTGACATTATAGGGACATGAGGCACAAGCATTGTTAGGGATGGGGTGCACGCATATTGACACCAGTCACCAACTGACCACTGCTCCGGGTCGATGTAGACCAGCACCGATTCCGTGAGTGAAGTTTTCCCCACACTAATCTCTGTTACGAGAAGCCACAGATATTTTAATTATACTGGACAACAATAAAGCGTGTAGTGAGTCGCGTATTCGAAATGGTTTTGGATGCCTCCGTACGCAAAATCGGAGCCTCAGCTAGCACAACCAAGCCACGGGTGGTTTGAGACCCCAGTCTTATCACACTTTAGTGTACTACTGACCACAACACATTAGTAGGCAAGACATAGCATCGACTGTGTGTTAAGAATTCGTTTAGATCGCGGCCTGTGCAGTTCATGGACAGATGCACTGGTTCCTACATAATCCGTTGCCATGTTCTTCAGTCTGACACCAGCTAATGGACAAACACCATCAACTGGTGAATATGTTTTGGCCTTCAACATCTCGACAATGAAAAAGGAGATTCTCCGCCTAATATTGGAGGATTGACAGTCCCATACCACGCGTGACACAAACCGCTTTTGCCAAGTGTAGTACCAACTAGGTCGGAGCATCCTTACTGCTCGCGATACCCTCTTTTTCACAATGCGTCGCTTCAGAGCATGAAATCGAATGTTTCCGGACAAGTGATATTGCCACGAGGTATCATTAAAGGACTCTGCATATTTTTTCAAGAGGTCTGATCTAAATCTGAAATGGGACGACCTGCCCACAGACCAAAATGTTAACAAAGAGAGGAAAATTACGAGAAGAAAATATTCCAACAGAAACCTCAGTGACGCAAGAAGTGATAACAGGTGGCTCCTCCTACCGATCGCTGCGGCCACGGATAGCTGACGGACACTGTGCGAGGCTTGCACTGCAGGGGTGCCGGTAGTGCAGTGGTCAAGGCGTCTGCGTTAACCACTGCGCGTCTGGGAAACCAGAGGTACGGGTTCGATTCCCCACGGTGCCCGCCCTTCCTGCCAGGGTGAGAGGCAGGCGGCGCCATATAGCCTTAGTAGCTGAGTGCGTCGTAAAGCCCCAATGACACACGCACGCTTGCATTGCAACCGACAACACAGGTGCAAAACCGCCTGAGAAATTACACGTATTCAATGTCTGCAAGCATTTGAAAGAAGTGTGAGATGGACCACTATTTAACCTTGTCATTAGGCTGCTTGTTTCATCGTTTTCATTGCCCAGCCATTGAAGAACAATTATTTACATTAAGTTAGGAACCCATTGCATGACAGTATCTGCCAACATCTTCTGCACACGAGTTTAAGCACACTGCTGGGAGATGTTGAATCCACAGATACATGACAAGCGTAGGCCGTACGATGAATGATATGGCTTAGTTACTTGGGCAACGGGAGATAGCGAGGGAAATAGTGAGAAAAGAGACAAAAAATAGCACATGGTTCCGTTGTCACGCATTATGGACACTTTCGGATATATTCTACGTTGCTCGTTAAGTCTCCACTTCTTGTCTGTCCCGAGGGGTCAGTTTACCAAAACGTCTGCCTTCCGATCCACACACATGTTGCAGGGTGGGTTCGGGTCGTTTTAGACGCTCGCTATTCGCCCCTGGCAGACATGACCTGCGTCTGGAGCGGCTACGCTAAAGGTGATGTGGCACTGGAGGGCAGGAAGACCATGCAGAGCATTGTGGCACGTTAAGCACCAGCCGCAACACTGTTATTAATCCGTTAACCCGGAATATCACGACCGGATAGTCGGGTCAGGACTCGCGTAACAAGTGTGATCCCATAATGCATCCGATCGCGAGGTTGGGACAACATATTTGAAAAGGTCCACACTCCTCCCCGGCTATCCTGCACCAGAAGAACGCCCGGCTATGCAGTCCAGTCGCGTGCCAGTGACGGCCTCGCCCGCACCAGCAGCACACTCAGCCGGAGAAGAGTCCTCGGCACCACGAGCACCCCTGTCTGACCAGTTCACCCGCGCGCCAGCCCCGCCCGCCGCTGACACAGCAGCACAGGTCGCTGACTGGGCTTCCACGGCCTCAGTTGGCGGGTCCAGCCCCGCGGTCGCAGCCGACGGCTCCGGTTCCATGCGGGCGGCCGGCTCCCCGCCGCCGGCCGCGGCCGGCTCAGCCAGGTCGGCCGGGTCGTACACCACGTGCTGCAGGTACAGGCCGTGAGGCGGCGCAGTGGCGGCGCGCGGGTTCCAGCTGTCCTTGCTGGGCACGTCGAGCAGGTGTTGCACGTCCTCCAGCGAGAGCCGGCCCTGCGCCACGGCCACCAGCACGGCCACCGTGCGACGCACCTGTCCAACGGAGCACACGGGTCAGCTGCCGGCCACGCCGCTCCACCGGCTGCTGACGACCGCTGCACAGCCCGTGCCCCACGACCGACGCTGGTGAAGTGGACCGAAATCTGGGGTTCAGTCACGGGGAAGCGCCAGGGAGCGCCACCGACGCTGGCGAAGCGGGCCGAACTCTGGGGTTCACTTACGGGGGGAGCGCCAGGGAGCGCCACCGACGCTGGCGAAGCGGGCCGAAATCTGGGGTTCAGTTACGGGGGGAGCGCCAGGGAGCACCAACGACGCTGGTGAAATGGGTCGAGATCTGGAACACAGTTATGGGGGGAGTGCGAGGCAGCGCCGCATCCCCCACCCCCAAATCGAGCGGAGTGTCTAGTTGTAAATATTTTTCTAATCACCAGGCTATGTCATGAAATTACCGCCATTGCGTAACATGTTGGGCCAGTCCTCCGGCAGGATCTTGGCAATCCGGGCGTTGCTTCAGAACTGGACGGGTAGCTATGGACTAGAGCTGAAAGTTTTGAGCCTACATGCCAGCAAGCGCGGGGAAAACCCGCAGGACGTTAAGTGGGCATTGACAACGAGGTTACGAAATTTGACGGGCTTTCGGCAATCAGTCAGGACGAAATAATTATTTTTAGATCCCTTAAATCACCTTACATTGTTTTCACAAACTTTAAAATAAACCGGTGAATTACACCACCCAGAAAGCTTCAAAATCCCCTCAGCAACGTCTAAATCTAGCACAATATCCACGGCTGAGCGACAGCCAAGTAATGAACAGCACGCTTATCACTCTTGGAGTGACACCTTCTCAATGAATTGATGCATTCCACAACAAAGATAAGCACGACGTGACACGTGATATGGTCATGGCCAGGAAAGCAAAAACTAGAGCAGGTAATGAAAAATAGCATGCCTGAACAAACAATAAACTTAAATGGAAAGGGCAATGCTCCATATTTGAAGGTATCCAAGCATACATCAGATGTAATTAAATAGGCTCACTTAGACCTTTTGGTATACTTTTGGTGGCAGAACTACTTAAAACAGTACAGTTTCTCCATGAAGTAAACATGCTCCTCAATACGTCGTTGTTTGACCGCATCATGGGGCGTTTGTATGACGTTGAGGTGCTGCCAGGCTAGCCGTGCGAGCCTGCCACCAGTGCACTTGAAAGAGAAGTACTTCAACTCGCCGAGAGATGGCAGTTGCAGTGCTGGAGATGTTCGCTGAGCCAAATATCGTTGTGTCCGTGTTTAGCCCTTTCTCGTAGTGTTCTTGCATATCTATCCGTGAGTTTAAGATGCTCGCTTGTATTTACATCCTCGATTGTGACGCTATTCTTGAGTTTTTCGATTGTAAGCCTTATTTCCGTAGCAACTAGCAGTCATATCCGACTTGTTATATTATGTATTACAAAACATGCTTAGTGGGCAAGCACAGCTTACCCAACATCAGTTGAAAGCCAACTGATGTTCACCGCATTTGGGTATTGTGCTCGCGGACGCTGGACCTGAACGGCTCGACATCACTTTTATTTGCCTTGAGGGCTACATGGCCTAGGGGTGGCAGGGTTTTAATGATGTTGGTATGTCATCATACATGCATGAACACCTTAAAAAAGTCTGCACGCAATAGTCTGCACGTGTTCGCAGACGTGTAGTTTAGAAGCTAGAGTTTTCGGTCTTACGAAGGGCAGGGTTGTTAACTGCACTGAATGATCTTCAACTCGGCTATTTCAAGCGCAACCCCCCCCCCCCCCTTCCCACAAAAGTGCCACACTCCCTTTAAATATGTGGTGAATGCTAGGCAGAAATACCCTGGTAAAGACATGTTCACAGGCGTCAGCATACGCATCTGACCACATAGCAATTGAAGGCAACGGTCCACATTTGAACA